TTTCTCTCTGTGTCAGTCGTGTTGAGTTTTCTCTCTGTGTTCAGTCGTGTTGAGTTTCTCTCTGTTCTCTGTTGAGTTTTCTCTGTGTTCAGTCGTGTTGAGTTTTCTCTCTGTGTTCAGTCGTGTTGAGTTTTCTCTCTGTGTTCAGTCGTGTTGAGTTTTCTCTCTGTGTTCAGTCGTGTTGAGTTTTCTCTCTGTGTTCAGTCGTGTTGAGTTTTCTCTCTGTGTTCAGTCGTGTTGAGTTTTCTTCTGTGTTCAGTCGTGTTGAGTTTTCTCTCTGTGTTCAGTCGTGTTGAGTTTTCTCTCTGTGTTCAGTCGTGTTGAGTTTTCTCTCTGTGTTCAGTCGTGTTGAGTTTTCTCTCTGTGTTCAGTCGTGTTGAGTTTTCTCTCTGTGTTCAGTCGTGTTGAGTTTTCTCTCTGTGTTCAGTCGTGTTGAGTTTTCTCTCTGTGTTCAGTCGTGTTGAGTTTTCTCTGTGTTCAGTTCCAGGAGCTCCAGGTGGGCAGGGAGAACCTCCTGATGTCGAACCGTGAGCTGGCGGAGACGAGCCTGGCCCAGAGGCCGCGGCTCCACACGGGCAAAGACCGACTCGCCAACAAGTACCAGCAACTGTCCGACCTGGCGACCTCCTGCTGGGACAAACAGAGCCAGCTGGGTGAGTGGACACGACCCCCGACCCCTGACCCCTGACCCCTGAAACCCCTGACCCCAAACCCCCACTCGGGTTTTTACACGACCTCAGATTCTGACCTCAACCAGAACCAGAACCAACTTCATCTTAAAGCTCCTGTATCACATAACACAGACTCTGTGAAAAACTAAACCGGGACAAAACCGGGACTAAACCGGGACTAAACCGGGACTAAACCAGGTCTAAACCAGGACTAAACCAGGACTAAACCGGAACTAAACCAGGACTAAACCAGGACTAAAAACAGGACTAAACTAGGACAAAAACAGGACTAAACCAGGACTAAACCAGGACTAAACCAGGACTAAACTAGGACTAAACTAGGACTAAACCAGGACTACTAAACAGGACTAAACCAGGACTAAAACCAGGACTAAACCAGGACTAAAACCAGGACTAAACTAGGACAAAAACAGGACTAAACCAACCAGGACTAAACCAGGACTAAACTAGGACTAAACCAGGACTAAAACCAGGACTAAACCAGGACTAAACCAGGACTAAACCAGGACTAAACTAGGACTAAACCAGGACTAAACCAGGACTAAACTAGGACTAAAACCAGGACTAAACTAGGACAAAAACAGGATTTAACCAGGACTAAACTAGGACTAAACTAGGACTAAACCAGGACTAAACCAGGACTAAACTAGGACTAAACTAGGACTAAAACCAGGACTAAACTAGGACTAAAACAGGATTTAACCAGGACTAAACCTGGACTAAAACAGGATTTAACCAGGACTAAAACAGGATTTAACCAGGACTAAACTAGGACTAAAACAGGATTTAACCAGAACTAAAACAGGATTTAACCAGGACTAAACTAGGACTAAAACAGGATTTAACCAGGACTTAACCAGGACTAAAACAGGACTTAAACAGGACTTAACTAGAACTAAACTAGGACTAAAACAGGATTTAACCAGGACTAAAACAGGATTTAACCAGGACTTAACCATGCCGCGTGGACCGGGCACCGCGTCTCCTCCCAAACCTCTGGTCCATGAAATATTGTTGGATATAAAACTGGTCCGTGACGCAGAAAAGGTTGGGGACCACTGTTCTAGTTCTAGTTCTGTTGTGTTCTGGTTGTGTTTGTTTCATTCACATGTTTGAGTAACTTTTGATTCTAAATCTGCGTTCACACGGAGCCTCACAGTGTCCGGTTCACACAGGGTCCATGCGGACGTGTGTCTGGGGCGTCCTGAGTTTTTTGCGTCGTGTTTTCAGACGTCAGCGCGGCGAGAATCTGCCGTCGACGCGGCGCATGTTGAGCGTTCAGGTGTCGATGCTCAGGACGGCGAAAGAGCGACCAGTGTTTCCGTTTTTACTCAGATCTGTGGAGAGGCGAGCCGCTCACTAATGCACGATTTTAAATGTGTTTGTGAGTAAAACTTAAAACTGTAATGAAATTGGTGGTTGGTGGTTGGAGGTTGGTGGTTGGAGGTTGGTGGTTGGAGGTTGGAGGTTGGAGGTTGGTGGTTGGTGGTTGGAGGTTGGAGGTTGGTGGTTGGAGGTTGGAGGGTCAGGAGTCTGGACACAGACGCTGCTCTGATGCTCTGATTCTTCTTCACTTCGGTTGGAGACGCACCATTACACACAGCTCTGAGCGCCCAGTGAAGCGGGCAGTGCCAGGGTCAGTGAAGCGGGCAGTGTTGGCGCCGGGCAGTGTGCAGTGGGCAGTGGGCAGTGAAGCGGCAGTGAAGTGGCAGTGGGGCTGGAGAAAAGTGGACTTGATCAGAACATATGAGGTGCAGAGTGAGTGTGAGTTTTCTGACTCCTCAGATTTGTTTCACGCGTCACTTTAA